GCTGTATTATATACCTAAAATGTACCAATAAACTAATGGAAAAAAAATAAATAAAAAAGATTATTTTTGTGGTGCTTGGGCTAAGTACTTGCTAGGCAAGAACTGTAGCATTGAGTACACCCCCAGTCCTAAATTGTTTGTTTGTTCGTTTATGGTGAAGTTTTATGTTTATTGAAGGTAGGAAAAGAAAAATACTTCGCAGTGTGAATTTGGTCTAACTAAAAGGAAAAAGTACATTCTACAGTGTGAGAGCAGACTACTTGTGAAAGAGAACACAGTACTAGTCCCAAATTATGTTTATAAATAGGCTAGTTGCTTATATTTAACATCTCTAAGGCTGAGTGCTCTTTTATTATGGATTTAAACTAAAACAAGATACAGTAAGGAAGCATTGTGAAGAGGCTTGTTACTACATTGTTATTTTTATTACTTTCTGAACCGAGTGTCCTGTGAATACAACTTAAAGAACTAGGAGCGAGTTAGTACAGTGCCTAGCCTAACGTAGAAGTTTGTCCAAATGTATAGTCCACCACTGGGAGTAACATCCTGTGTGGGAAGGACAGCGGTAAGGAGCCCATGGAAGCAGGGGAACGCATTCCTGTGTTAGAGCGATGGCTGGTAGTTCTACCCCCCTCCGCATTTCTCCCTGTTGTTTCTCCAGCAGCATTCATCAGGGTAGAGGGCAACTCGAATATCTGCCTCCGCGGGTAAAGTTCAAACCTGCTTTTCTAGTTGAAAATCTTACTGAGTCCCTTACACAAGTGTTTATTACACGTGTTGTATTTGTGACTTGAGGCAGCCCCACCTAGAAATCAAATACCCTCTTACTCTTGTGGGTAAAATGTCACTTCCTTACTTTAAATAGAAAAGCTCGGCTCTGGAGCTCGACTATTCAGTTAGCCATACTGACAAGTTATTTTACCCCTTAACATTCCTGTAGCATTTGGTGAAAATCCTTTCAACCAGAACGAATATTTTTAAAAATTAAATGACATGTGTTTTAGAGTTATGAGAATTTCAGGCTTCATAATAATTGAAATAAGCCTTGAGCTATTCTCCTGTCCTGACGTTTTATTTTTTTAATTTTTTTTGGTACCGGGGATCGAAATCAAGGACGTTGCGCTTGCGAGGCAGGCAGCGGAACCACTGAACTAAATCCCCTGCTGTCCTGACTTTTTAAAAAATTGGTTTTTGTTCTTTTCTGCCTTTTATTTATAATTCCTATACCTTTTTGTGTGTATGTTTCATTGTTGTAGAACAGTGTTTATTGTGATATGAGAAATGTCATTTGTTCATAGAACCAACTGCTAGATAGATTTAAAAGTATTAAAACAGAGACCAAAGGGTACATGTTGGAGACATTCGTGTGTTCTTACTTATAGAATCTATATAGGCTTTAGCATTGGTCATTAAATATGGTTTGGGTTTTTAAGATTGTAGTTTTATTTTGTTTGGGTGATTGCTAATGGCACCCAATAGTTATCCCTCTGATATGTTGATTATTCCTTTCATTAAATCTCTACTTTTGATGTTTCTAATGCTTAGCACACAATTTTCTGCCTTGTTTTTTTTTTTTTTTTTTTTGTACTGGA